CATAGGAGTCCTTTCTACTTAATTAATGAGAATGTATTACGGACTTATTTTTGTAGCTGAGATATATCAGATTGAAATAACTAATAATATGTCGAGGTGAGGAAAAAATTATAATTTGTGAGGAGGTAGCAGTAAGAATTTTTTCCCCTGATTTTCTAACATACAGTTGTTGCTTTTGTTCGCTAACCCATGGTGGAAAGCTTCCTGATAGTTGATTATATGATAGATCTCTGCAGACAAGTAGATTTATATGATGTCAGAAATTTATGCTGATAAATTCAGTATTTATAGTGATGGAAGTTTAGGAGAATACATATTGGAAAGAGATCTGCTCTTTGAAGCAGGCAAACTTCCAGATAAGCTATTGTTTCCGAGAAATCTGCTCAAACATGAATTCATATTGATTAATAATATGAATTTTGCACAGTACGAAAATGTGTAGAAGCAGAAGAAGATACATTAGATATTTGCTTGTGAATAAGATCACAATTTCTTACAAGAAGCTGAGTGAATTCAAATTGAAGAGAGACTGAGGAAGTATTCCTGTTATGTTGTTGAAGCTCAAGTCCCTTCAAATTAAATATGAAAGTCAACTCATAAATTTTAAGTGAATGAGTTTTAAACAACATTGTTAGATTAGATGACTCACAATTTTTGTAAACTTGTGAAGGACGCAAAATTTGACGGCATACTGTCAGATATCTTGCTATTCCTTAAGATCCTGCAGTGGAGACAACATCATATTGTAAATGCCAAACAAGTAACTAAGCAAATATAGGTTAATTTATAAATATGAGTTTGAAATTTTGGCCTTACAGGGTGTTTAATGATGTCAAATTACTAATAAATGCCAACGAAGAGCTCCCATTTATAATATCTCCAATCCGTCTGCACCATTACATAATGTAGTTTCGGCATGTATATGATTTCAGTGAAGCCACAAACATTAGCGTATTGTTCCAAAATAAGCAGCAATCGAAGCATTAAACACTTACAAGTCTGTGAGTTTGGTGAGACTAGATAAGCTTGAAGGAATTGGACCTTGGAAAGAATTTCCCTGGAATCTCCTGGGAGAATTTTCACATTATTAGACAGTAGCCAAGGTTGTTATTATAGTCCATCTTTTATAACAGACATAGCAATTATAATTCAAGAGAAATTGTTCAAATAGACTGAAAAAGAAAACACTATTAGAAAGGGTTCGCCTAGAAACAAATCTTTAAGCTTAATTATAATAAGTTCGGTGATTTTGCACATCTTTTACTATCTAATTTTACTTAAGAATTATTAATGCAAAACTAGAAAACATATAGGATTTAAAAATCTTGCACTTACAGAGAGGTCAAGTTTGTCCAACTCCCAATAAAATCAGGTATTAATCCAGAAAAGTTATTGTCAGATGCCCACCTAAATGGTAATAGCAGAAAAATAAGTTACTTTCATATTCACACATACTCAAATTTAATAAAGGACTTACATGATCTGCATGTTTGCAAGTTTGGAAAGAGTTGAAGGTAGTTCACCACTAACTCCACTACTATCCATGTATCTGTGGATGAAAGAAAGATTCAGATTGTCACAAATAAAAGGCATGTACAAGGATACGTATGTGTGTGTTAGTGTGCATTTGTGTGAGTGTGCGCACTTCTGCATGTGCGTGTGAGCATCTATGTGCTCTTGTGCATGTGTGCTCATGTATTTGTGTGCACACATATCTGTATGCGCATGCACATCTTTACACGTGTGTCTGTGCATGAGTGTCTGTGCATGCATGTGTGGTTGTGGGGGAGCATGCGCTCGTCTGTGTGTGCACGTGCATGATTGGGTTTGAGTGTGTGTGTGTGCGCGCTTGTGCTGAAAGGTATAGAAACTTAACAGTTGTTGTAGACTTT